AAACGTAGTATTTCTTGAACCAGGAGCTGCTAAGGCGAGGCATAGTCTATTTTTGGTGTTTTTTTTTTAAACTAGAATTAGAATTTTGTTTTAATAAAAACAAGTAGACATTTACTCTTATAGTAAAACATTAAGGTAGAATTTTACTTAATTAAAAAGAATACAAAAATACTTAAAAAAATTATATTTAAATTTTATTATAAAATTGAGCAGTAATTGGGTGTAAGGTATAAAATCAAAGTTAATATAAATAAAAAATGTTAATGGATAAATTTGAACAACTAATAATAATAATGATAATAATAATAATAATAATAATAATAATAATGATGATGATGATAATAATAATAATAATAATTATTATAATATTAAATTCAATATTAAAGAATGAAATTATCACAGAAATAGGGCGCACGCATTTGTACAACTCAAGAATTGTTTATATGTAAAATGAGATAAATCATTAGCTCTTTAATTGTTACATGGATAAAGATGTTCTTAATTGTATACATTGTACACTTAACGTGAATTTTTATAAAAAATGATTTATTTGAAGAATTGGATCAATCTATATAATCAAAGTTTCATGTTTTATTTATTTTTAATGTTCAACAATTACTTATATAATATAAAATATTTAAAATATTTTTTATTAAAAAATTATAATAAAAATAAAATATTTTGCTTAGTTAAAATAATTATAATTATAAAATTTTTCAGATAATTTTCTGTTTAAATTTTTTATTCACTAAAAAATAAATATTTCAGATAATAATATATTTTTTACTTAAATTTTTATTCTATTTTTTACCTCCCTGTTTTTTTTACCAACAGTTCGTTTCCATCTACCTCATCTTTTATTGAACAGTGAAAAGTGCACCATCTAATGGGTGTATATTGTATAATACCCATTTTCCATGAAGTTACATGATAAAGGAGGATCTGTCTCTTTCTTGGTTAAGTGCAAGTTTTTATGTTTGACTCTTCTGCTAAAAGCAGTCATTTTGTCTCAGATGCTTCGACTAATTATTCTCAGCATGTTGTTCTCAAAGCAGTCGCTTCCCTCTGCCCATTCCTTCTCATTCATTAACCGCTGTCGTGTATGCTTGGTTTGGGTTAATATCCAAAATCTTTATGGAATTAGACTGGTTTTTCCATCCTTAAATGTCCTTCTTACGCCAGAAGTCTCTACTTCTTTGTGTTCAGCTTGTTTAAGTGCTTTATAAAGTCCTTACCGAAAAAAGAAATGCTTTAGACGGTATGTTTGATTATTTTTATTAGAAAGATAGACTCTGTAGTCTATAGTTCGGGCCTGCACACTCCCTTTCTATAACCGGGATACACACGGACATATGTTTTTTATTATGTTTGGAAGTGAGACATGCTATTGTTGCTAGGGGGAATTCACACAAGGATATTATCATACTGATATTATGGGTAGGCAGATTAGAGATCCATTCAATATCCTGTGCTTTTACACATGCACATTCCGAAGCCTGTATCACTTCTGGTTCTCTCTTGTTTGAAGAGATCATGAGGGATTGCATTTTGATCACACAATGGGAATCTCTCCAAATTGATAGCAAAAATGAAATTATTTGGTTGATCTAGGATTTGATCAGGGTGCGTGCTTAATTATCTGTATCGACCATCAACCTTATTGTCCCAGCAATTACTAGTAACTAGTATGTGTTGTCCATTTGTCCCAGATTGAATTGTCAAGATAATGGTCTGACTAGTACCCGGTTTGTATTTAACCTACCCATTTTGAAATATATGACAAATTTTAAGCGCACAAACGGAGGTTAGGTTGCGTCTATTTTCAAATAGGCTCTAGGTGATGAGATCTTTGGCCATGCTGTCTCCAAGTCTTTTGTGATGGGCCATAAAATTTGTGGTACCGACCTTACCAGCATGTATGACAAATTTGCGGTTTATTGGAATTCACTGGATAGCTTTTCCGGGGCCATTCCTTTTAAAAGTTAGATCTCACATATCTCGCTTAGACAATTCAATAATGCCAACTTCCTTTGCCTTCATTTAGGATAGAAAAATAACAATGCTGCAGATCTTTTGTGTTCATTATTACAACTTTTGTCTCCTATCCCTGAACCAGTGGACCTTTGCGTCCATTTAGTCACATGTTATATGTTTTATGATCGTGGTTTTTGTATTCTTTATTTCTATAAAATTCCAATTTTATTTCTCTTGGTTTATTATATTTCTAATATTTATGACTTGCTCATATGTAAGACAAGGTTGCATTAAATATTAAAAACTATCGTTTGATGGTCGGTTTTACTATATTATACACGATTGTGAAATCTTAGAAAGAATTTTATATATTCCTAGAGGTTTTTCCCTTCGTAGAACATATCCACCCAAATCAGTCTGTGTTCTGCGCTATTGCTATTACTTGCGTAACAAATCAGTATCACAACTATGTGAATGGAAAACATGCATTTAGATAAGTTAATATTATTATTGACTTTTGGATAAACAAGTGCTTCTCAAACTCAGGTTAGTTGTTAGGTGGAGTAAGACGGAGTATTGAATCCGACAGGTTTTAGGAACTTCTATTTGTTTCCTTAGAGCGGATTAATGTAAGCCCTTTATAATATAACTCTTCTATGAGTACTCTTTATGTCCTGCTACTTTTCTCTACTTTGAGGCATCATTCTCTACTATAAAAATTTGTTAATAAAAAAAAGTGCTTCTCATCACATGAACTCATCAGCGGACAAATTTTGACTGAAATTTTAAATCTGTGTAGAATACTTGTTTAGTTTAATTCATTTTCTAAGAAATATTCAATTTTATTAGTTTTTTTAAATAATTTAGATTTAAACATGTATTTATAATAATATATATGATTTGACAAAAGTACAATTCACTTTTTTTTATCCTTAATAAAATCATACTTATATAATAAAATAAGTACAGACTTAAATGTGCATGTTGGTACTCATTTATTGGTCTGTGTAAGTAGTTCCTGTAATGCTTGTGACATCTTCCTAATGTTATAATGGGACACCATGCTTTCCCTCTAAAATGCGTCATGTTGCAGTTTAAAATTTTTTAGTCGTAAGGAGCTGTGTTGCACGCTAACATATTCACAAGTATTTAATTGTCAAAAATTCAAAGTTATTTAAAAAAAAAAAAAAGGTAATAGCATTGAAAGAGCTTGCTTAAATTAGTATTAAACTTACAACTACAAAAATAAGTGTCTATTATAACTCTTTAAGTCCTTTTTATAATTTCTATTTAAATAATTCTGTCTTAAAATAAATTTTTTTCTCTCATAATTATATTGATAAAAAAATGATACCCGCAATGTAAAAAGTTAAATTTAAGCACATTAAAGTAGTAACTTTTTATTTAAAAAAATATTTATCACACTTTCTAGAAACTCAGTTCTAAGGTGTGCATATCAGAGGATTTATAAATATTAATATGGATTGAAAAATATGTAGAAAGACATTAACCTTTTTCTAGTATATTAATCTGTTGATACCTACAAACGGGGAGTGGAATAGATGGTAAATAAATGAAAGAAAAAAAAAGAGAGAAAATAAAAAATGTGATAGAAAAGAAAAATGAAGATAAAAAATAGGTTTGGAAGTATAAAACTTGTTCCAAAATTCAGTTAATGTTCCTAAATTAAAGTTTTGGTACTCTTATTATCTTCATCCAAAGCAAAGTTACCATTATGCTATCTAGTTTCATCAAGTTTGAAAAGGACAATATTAGTTGCAGATAAAATATGCTTTGAGGAATACCATGTACCATTGATTTTAACGAAGAAAAACTGGAGCAAGGGATAGAAAAAAGAAATAAATGGTGATCATTAATATTATGTGAATTATTTTTGGTGTGCTGTCATAACTTGCTGGTAAATGGTAGTAACAATTTATGTTTATATATATATATATATATATATATATATATATATATATTATTTTTTCTTTCGTCTATATGATTTTGGTCTCTGCTCCAAAAGATGTGGGTAATTCAGAGGGGAAAGAGGTTTGACGTATTCTTTTTTTTTTTTTTCCTTTAAATAAATAAATAGTCTTTTTTGTTCTCTTTTAAATTACACCGTCACTGTATTAACTACAAATAGGAGAATAAAACTTAATTGATATGTTAAATTTTTTAAAATGCTTGTTTGGATGGACGGTGAGATAACGTGCACGATTTATGATGGATGAATGACCAGAATTGAGAAAAAAGTGATAAAAAATAAATTACTGCAGTCAAAATCCATTCCAAAGCTAATACAAACAGGCTAATAATTTTAATCTTTAACTAAAAGAAAGAAATATCAGATTTTTATACATATATAAAATGGTTTTTAAAATTTTTTCCTATATTTTCAAACTTATATTTTTTAATAATTTTTTTTACTATTTTATATAATAAGTATAAAATAAAAAATATATGTATATTTTGAAAATATAAAAATATTTAATTTTTATTTAAAATTTAAGAAATTTTATAAAAAGAAAAAATAGTAAAATTTAAAGATACATAATAAAAATATATAATAATTTTTTTAATATTCAAAGATACATAATAAAATATAATACTTTTTAAATTATGAAATTCAATTTATTAATACAGTTAAGTGGCTGTTTGTATTACTCCTTACACTCCATTTATGCACATTTTTTATATAGTCACGTGAAAAAGCAAAATTTTTCAATTTAATACAACGGAATTTCAAGAATTATTCAATCAAATCCTGCTTACTATACTTTTTTTTAATAAAAAAGTATTATTTATTAATTCTTCTATATATGACTTTCTACACTTGTTAAAAAATTCGCGTAGAAAGGCCTGAATGCATATAGGTGCATGGAGTTGGAGGCTTAAGCGGGTTGGTTCTGGAATCATTTTCACGCTGAGTAACTTACCTATTTTTTCTGAGTAAAATATTTTCTTTCTGTTTTCAACAAAATCTTGGGTGTCACCTGCATGGCAGGGAGGCTTTATGTGCCTTATAAAGCTTACACGAGGATTCCACTGCCTTCTCTTTTTTTTTTCTTCTCTAGTTTTGTTAATTCTCTGCCATTTGATAGTGCAGATTTTCCACTCTCTACGTTCCCTCTCATCATCTAACTTTAACCCTTTGCCCCTAACCCAGCTGGAAATTTGACTCATTAACCCAAAATTGTCTCTTTGCTTTCAGGTCCGCTGATTTCCGAGGCGTCTCCTGAGCTGGCCTTTGAACTCGTTCCTGTAATTTTCATTACTCTATGACTTGATTAAGTCTTTGCATCAGATGTGCAGCTCTTACTGCTCGAGTATTTTCAATACACGAACAATAAATCAGACATAATGAATTTACCCGTCCATCAGCACGGGTGACATACTAGTTTTCATTAATAAAAACTATCCGGGATTTCGACTGCCTCCTCTGTTCCCATTGCCCTGCTTTGTTTGTATTCCATTTCATGAATGTACCAAGCAGAGATGCGGATAATTCCATTTCCATATATAAGCTAATGAATGTGAAATTTCCAACTCATTTGCGACTCTGTCGATCCCTTCTTGTTGCCTTCCGTCGTGGACACTGTTTTCTCCTAATTGTCTGTACTTCATTTCAATTTCAGCGATTAGAGAATTTTCTTATATGGCACTGGAACACCTGTTCTGTTTAGATTCTTAATTTTCTTGTTTCTTTCACTACTGTTATATACTCTGTTTTATTAGGAGGCTGAATTGGGGATGCTTTGTTATTTTATTTGCAAACGAAATGCAGGGGAGAAAGGTTGGCTTCTTACGACATTTATGCTCAACTTCAATGGTTGGATTCCAGAGTGACCGCATGCCTGGGAACATGTATAATGGTAATTCTAATAGTTTTCCGGGACGTGTTGAACGACTTGTGAAAGGACGAGAGCTAAGAAAAAGCAGCAGGGCTTCTCTTTCGAATGAATCTCTTGATAGTAATAACTGTAGTAATGTGGTTGCTGAATATTTTGAGCATGACCTGCGCTTAAGAGAAGATAATAACACCAGTGCTTCCAATGCTGAACGATTCCTGGAAGGGGCGGCGCGGGTTCTTAGTGAGGGATGCGAAAGGGAAGATGGAAAACCTTTCAGACAACGGCTTTTGGTCGTGGCCAACAGGCTACCTGTCTCGGCAATTAGGAAAGGCGAGGATTCGTGGTCTTTGGAAATAAGTGCTGGTGGCTTGGTGAGCGCTCTTTTAGGTAAGTGGTGACGAAGCCTATCAGTATTTGTTCTTTCTGTATTACACCTCTTTATTTTACCATTTTTCCGAGTGTACTGTGTCTGCTCTGAAGTCTGAAATTTCCATATTATTTAAATTGTTATTAGATTTAGAAGGCGGGTTCCCAAATATACATATGTTATATTTTGAGATGAACTTGGTCTACAAATTTACAATGAGATATCTAACAAGACTTCTTCTTTAACAAAGGTGTGAAGGAGTTTGAAGCGAGGTGGATAGGATGGGCTGGTGTCAATGTGCCAGATGAGGTTGGGCAAAAGGCACTTACTAAGGCACTGGCTGAAAAAGTACTTGAGTTTTTTCATCGGCGTTAGAAATTACTTTTGCCTTTATCATTTTGCCATTTCATCAGTAGATTTACTGTTTTTTATATTAATCTTTCTCTTGCTTGTTGCCTGGGTTGCAGAGGTGTATCCCAGTATTTCTTGATGAAGAGATTGTTCATCAATATTATAATGGCTACTGCAACAATATTTTGTGGCCCCTTTTTCATTACCTTGGACTTCCCCAAGAAGATCGCCTTGCTACCACACGTAGTTTCCAGTCTCAGTTTGAAGCATATCAGAAAGCAAATCAAATGTTTGCTGATGTTGTAAACAAGCACTACGAAGAGGGTGATGTTGTTTGGTGTCATGATTACCATCTTATGTTTCTACCACAATGCTTAAAGAATTACAACAGGAAAATGAAGGTTGGCTGGTTTCTGCATACCCCATTTCCATCTTCTGAAATTCACAGGACACTGCCATCTCGTTCAGAGCTCCTGCATGCTGTTCTTGCAGCTGATTTGGTTGGGTAAGCTGCACTTTGCTGTCATTTAGCAATAAATATATTTTTTATTCATTCATCTCATTTTGTTACTTGAAAGAAAACTGAGTTGTGGGCATGGTGATTTTGCAATAAGATTGTTTCATGTGACCCCATAAGATGATTTGAAGTTGTGCATAAAACTCAGTATATGCTTGTTTGTCAATAAGTAAGAATTTTACCTGTGCTGTATTCACTGTTGGGACATTGATTTTGAGACAAAACTACTAGTTATGTATGAAGAACAAAATGTGGTGTTGACATCTAAGCATGATTTTTACTACTCCTTTATGCCACATCAACATTTTGGGTAGCTTGGGGTCTTGTATTCAATTCCTCTCTCTTAGTCACGATTTGTCAACTACTCTACTCTCTTCAATTTCTCAAATTAGTTGTTATTCAAAATAATGAGCTGCTTCTACAACTATGTTATGCATTAAGTGAATTTATACACCACATTAGTTTAGATGAGCACCATATACTCTAAACTTGTTTGTTGTTAGAAGAAATAACAAAAATAACGGAAAAAATTTATGGAGCATGTGCAGTGCAGGGGTCAAAATAGTTGATAGAAAATCAAGTTCCTCTGAACTAAAGAGAGGCTTGGGCTTTGAACACACTACATCTTGTCTATTCTATATATCTGTAACGAAAGGGGGCTGTATTCTCCTTTTGACTGCTTATTGCATACATCTTCAATAACCTTCCTGATTATGATAAAAATTCTATAAATATAATTTATTAAATATTTATAATAGAATAGAATTTCATGAAATCTAACTTTTTTCAACAGTTTGTGCTTAATCAGCCATTACAATCCTTTCTGAGTTCTGACCTTGTCCATAGTAATTTTTTAACAAAAATTGAAACATGGACCTCCATGAGCCATGGAAACATTATGAAGTTATAGAGCATTGTTTCATTATCAATTTCCTTTCTGACTAATCAGCCATTATTCTTAAAATCTTTACTGCACATAACCTGATTCTTGCCCACAATTAATCAATGGGACTAAAACTAATAATAAGTTGAATAACTGTAATTTTCATTTTTATTTCCAGTTTAATCATTTTCATATTTTTCTTATATTTTCATTTCCTCTAACTTGGATAAATGTGATTTTGTTGAGTAGCTTTCACACCTACGATTATGCACGACATTTTGTTAGTGCATGTACTCGCATTCTTGGACTTGAGGGCACACCTGAAGGGGTTGAGAATCAAGGGAAGCTGACCCGAGTTGCTGCAGTATGTGCTCACAAAATTTGTCTATATTACTCATGCTTCACACTGACATTCAAAATTATTTATTGAAAATTTAAAAACAAAGTTCACATAAAACATTTTGAATGAAACTACTCTTTATCTTTAACCAATTAACATGAAGAGCTTAAAATTAGAACTTATTTACTTCTTTTTCTCCTGCATGTCAGTTTCCAATTGGTATAGACTCAGAACGATTCATACGGGCACTTGACCTTCCTGAAGTCAAGGATCACATAACAGAATTAAAAGAGAGATTTAAAGGAAGAAAGGTGCATCTTTTTTTTTTTTATGGTATTAACTGCTCTTTTTGGTCTGTCTTATGTTGTATTCTACATGTTGGTCCTATTAATTTTGAGATTGTTTCTGATTTATAATTTTTTCTATTATAAATTAAGGATTATAGAGTAATGGCAATTTGGGAAAAGTATACACTATTTGCTGGGCTATCACACTAAGGATTTTTTATTTTGAATTTTTGTATTTATAAATTTATGTTATAAAAAATGTATTTGTTTGGTGGACATGACATGTCATGATATCCTTTCTTTCCCAGATCCAAGTGCTACTTTCATTCAGTTCTAACATTTAACAGTCGCCTAACCTTTTCATGGCTTGACAGGTAATGTTAGGTGTTGATCGACTTGATATGATTAAAGGAATCCCTCAAAAAATTTTAGCATTTGAAAAATTTTTGGAAGAGAATCGTGATTGGCGTGATAAAGTTGTTCTACTTCAAATTGCTGTGCCAACAAGAACAGATGTTCCTGAGTGTATGATACTTATATGATTTCAGTATTTTTTCTTGTACCATCTTTAGGGTGGTAGGTAACATAGTCTTCTTTGGTATATTTATTTTCCTGTTGTCTCAAGAAGTGGAAGATAAAACTTTTTATTTATTTAAAAGGAAAATATAATGTTTTCTGTCATGTTGTAGTTTATATTAAACTCTGATAGTGAACAAAAAGAAAGTCCTTTATGCATAAATGGAAAAAGCAAATAAAAAGGAAACAAATCATTTTTGAGCTTGTATTGTACAGTACTATATATGATTTTATATTTAATTGTTTTTTCAAATTCTTGTATTAAGGTTTTCATTATGGAGAAATGTTGCACTGGAAATTGGGTTCACAATCACTGTATTGTGCTCATAGAACTATTATTATGCCATTTCATTTACTTTGAAGTTATGTACTTTGTGATTTTGTTGGGTTATTGGCTAAATTCTATTAGGCAGTCATGTTATATGATGTGACAGTTATAGTGTTATATATGAGGTGTGTCAACCTGTTGGAGGTAGTTAAGGCATCAGTTTGTTGTTTTGGGTATTTTGAAGGAGGAAACTCCTTTTTAGGGGAAACCCATGTGTAGTTGATGTATTATTCTTACAATCTGGTCTATAAACTAGATAATTCTAGTAAAAATATAAATATTTGTGTGTTCAATTCTTGAGTCCAATATTGGGGGGGTCTTGAGTTGGCAGTTTTTACCCCTTTTTGATTGTTTGTGTTAAAACTACTAGCTCTTTTAAAAGCTTAAGCTATTAGGTGATGGTAAGTTTCAAACTCCTGACCAGTTGGTCATAAAACCTGTAGTTCCATGTTGAAGAACAATCTAAACTATTAGCTAAAGTTTCAATAGTGGTTTTATATCTAATAGTTTGAGATAGTTTTTCTATGTGAACATGCTTAACTGGTGTGACCAACATTACAAAAATCTTAAGCAGTTTAGGTGGAAAGCCAAGGATAATATTATATCTTCAACAAGCATTATCTGCCTATATTTTTTCATTTCTTGCATATTTACAGATCAAAAGCTTACAAGCCAGGTCCATGAAATTGTTGGTCGCATCAATGGCAGATTTGGAACACTAACTACTGTTCCTATACATCACCTGGTGAGTTCTTAAGACACTGATCATCTGATGATCATTATAAAAATGCTGATACACTGTCACATCAAGTTCAACGCTTATCATTTCTGTGTGTTACATAAATGTTGTTAGATTAACTATTTCAACAATGCTGGTTGCATGTGGTTGTGTTACTTTCTGTCATGCTGTATTTATCCCAACACTTTCTTTGGAATGGGGTGAAAATGGTGATTGAATGAATATTGAGCAAGATTTATTATTTTCACTTGTTTGTTTGACACCATATTGGGCTCATTTACGAGGCCAGCTCATGTGAAACAGTAGCGAACAAACCTTGTCAAATTCACATAAATTGTGAAACTGACAATGAGAAAAGATAAATTTCAGGTTGGTCTGAATACATAAATCTGTGTCAAATGTGGATTAGTGAAAATGTATAAATTTTTGAAACAGAAAATGTGTAAAGATAAATTTCATGTTGGTCTGAATATATAAAGCTTTGTAAAATTATTTAACATGTGGGTTAGTGAAATTTTATAAATTACTTACAGTGAGATTATTTGAATAGGGAGAATGTTTGATATTCCTATTTTCAATGAGATAGGTTTACAAATCCTATGTTTTGTTTTTGTGATCTTTTCTTTATGCAAGAACGACTAATAACATACTTCAATTTTTCATTTGTCCATATAGCTGTATTGGATATGTATTTGTAGTTTTGTACCAAACCCCTGAATTGGTGCTCTTTTTTCTCCATTTTTTGGGGTCAAGCACAATAACTATGCATACATGTTTGAACTACTTTAAAGCATTTAAATTTTTCCCTTTTTTTTCTTACTATATTGAAAACATAGTAATATATTTTTACACTAATTTTTGTGGGTCCAAATAAACTTCTACTAGTTTTATCCTTAAAAACTCTAATAAACTATGTCTATGTATCATATTATCTTGGTTACTATACTAGCAACCATTACCTTTGCAGCTTAGAACAGTATTTTTTTTCATATTTGGATATGGTGTATCACGCAGTTTCCACTAATGAAGTGTCCAATTTTAAATTGCAAAACATGATAAATTGATCCAACTTGGTTAATAATCAGCTATTGGCAGCATGACTGATTGTAAAGTTGTCTTTTTTTCTTTATTGAATAACAACATTTGACTTCAATTCAATCAAAATTTTCTTCTTGCTTATATTGAACTTTACACAGTTGACGTATGAAGCTAACAGGGTCCAAGGATAGAGTTAAGGGTGAAAATGAGTAGATGTAAATTGAGCACTTGCTCTAGGTTGTCTCCTGTATTTAAAAAAGGCAAATTAAAGTTTGGAGTTGACTTATTTAAAATTATGAAATTTGAATTTACTTGTTTAGTTTGTTTTTAGTTTGCTTTATTTCTTTTCCTTTATCAGACAACAGACATCTCAAATATTTTTCAAGTCTGTCAGTTCAATATTTAGTTGCACTTTTATGCTAGACTGGAAGATAACAGAGTAAAAGCCTCTTTAAATATTAGAGTTTAACCAGTAATGTGATTGAGCTCAAACAACAGTTCACAATTAACTCAACTTAAAACTGTACTTTTAATGTTAGATATGTCATGATATCATATTTAAATTAAATTAGACATTTTTATATGCTTATTCTGATGACCAATCTATATCCTTTATTATTATTAATCACATTACAATGCTACAGCTTAACGAATTTGCTGTGGCTGCAGGACCGCTCTCTTGATTTTCAAGCACTATGTGCTTTGTATGCTGTTACGGGTACAATTCTTGTGCTTTTAGATTTTTTTTCTCTGTAACCAAGTCCAGTGAAGATTTATCTGTACACTGTGAAAAGAAGTCAGGTTTAAAATATTACATTTTGGTACATTACCTTTTGGAGAAAGATGAAAGTACGCCCATTATGCCTAGAGCACTGACCCAAGTCTATTAAACTCTATTACTTATTTCCCTGAATTCTCAATTGCCATTGAAGGACTGAATTTGCTTGTTGATTTATTCAATTATTTTATTGTGAATTTTTTGTCAATAGTGTGTACATACTCTGTTTCTTACCCAGATGTAGCACTTGTCACGTCTTTGAGGGATGGAATGAATCTTGTAAGTTACGAATTTGTGGCCTGCCAAGATAAAAAGAAAGGGGTTCTCATACTTAGTGAAGTAATTACTAAAACTTATTAGTGTATTTATCTTTTATTTTTAATTTCTCAATTCAGGCTCTGTTAATGTTAAATAATGTTTATTAAAGAATAGATTCAAAAGTTAGTGGATGGAACTATGCTCCTACAGTCGTATGTATTTAGGTAACATTTGGTATTTGGTACTCTTCTTGTAGTTTGCTGGTGCTGCACAGTCACTTGGTGCTGGGGCAATTCTGGTCAACCCTTGGAACATCACAGAAGTTGCTGCTGCAATTGCCAAAGCTCTGAATATGCAATCATCAGAAAGAGAGAAGAGACATAGACATAATTTTCATCATGTAAAAACCCACACTGCACAGGAATGGGCAGAAACTTTTGTAAGGTATACATATTGCTACTCTCGATATCTGGTCTAGTACACTATAAGTTTATGATTTATATTTTATAGTGAGGCTGATATATCTCATTACAGCCTGTTGATTTCATACATATCAATTCCAAATTGAGTCTGCAGTTCTGCCTCTGAACCATCCTGGATGGTTTTCTAAAATAACACTGGAAGCTGTTTGCTTGATTTGGCTAATTAATTATAGTCCTCTCTGATTGTATCTTAAGAGTACTGTTGGTAGGGAAGAATCTGTAAAACTATGTAGATAGAATTATACTCAAACATGATGGTTGTTTACTTGTGATGCTGTAATTTTAGGAATAGGAGGACATGCTGATGCTTGATTTAGATTCTGAACCAAAACATGTTATGAAGGAATAGATCACTTGCATAGATTTTTTAAAAGAGATTGATAATATGTTGGGTCTAAGCCAATTGGACCCCCATTAAAGACATATCAAAGAAAGACGGGTAAAATGGGGAAAGGGCTAACCAGGAGGCTGTCTAACAGACTAACAAATCAGCATACGTGGCTAGGATGAGGAGGCAGAGATTCAGGGGAGAAAGAGAGGTAATATAGGCAGGAGGAGCATAGGACAAGGGGTGGGAAATATCTGGGGAGGTCATTGGGGAGTAGCTAAGGCTATAGGAGGATTTCTCACTGGTTATTGGATTGCTGCGGTCTGTTTTCCATTTTTCTGTTTCCATTACCTTGCTTGTAATACCAGGGGGTACTCCCTATGTTGGTTCTGAAAAATCTCAGTTCCTATCATAATACCATGATGATCCTTATCTTTTAATATTTGCAGTGAACTAAATGATACTGTTGTTGAGGCACAGCTAAGAACAAAACAAGTTCCCCCACGGCTACCAACCAAGATTGCAATTGAACGCTATCTGCATGCAAAGAACCGATTACTTATTTTGGTATGCTATCTTATCATGAAGCTTATGCTTCCTTGAATACTGGTCTTTAAGGAACTCTTTTAAACCTTTTTGTTTTCTCCAGGTATTTTAGTGTCAGATATCACACATACAATATCAAAATATTTAGAAAATTGTGTTTGGGAAAAATTAACTTCCCTCTTAAATAGATATTCTGTAACTTTACAGGTGGGATATTCCAGGAGAGCTTACATCTATTTAAAGCACATTTACAGGAAAGAAAAATAAAATCCTAAGACTTTCCTATTATTATGAAATAAATGAAAGTACAGAAGAAATGATAATTATGACGCCCTGAAAAAATGTGAATATGAAAGGCATGTGACTACATTAACATTTAGTACTTTTCTGAATGTTCCCTACTAAGTACGTTAAAAAGACAAACACTAGGTTGTTTTGTAAATGATCTGACCTAGTGAAACACACTTTGTTCTCATTGTGATGAAAACTTGGAAGGTTGAGGATAGATCTGCAGTGTATTACTGCATTGAATTGTCAGTTGAAACGGAAAAAAATGATAAGCAAGCCATTTTCTTTTGAGATCCAATAAACTGCATGTTCTTCCTCAATTTTTTGAAGCAAAGGAACTTATAATATGTAGTACAATTACCAGATTTTATAAAAGGATAACTCGATCCTAAAATGTGGATGAACTTATCTTAAAGATGACAAAATTTATCAGACATGAACATTTTTCTGTTCAGGAAAGTCCAATGGGGAAATTTGCAAGAACTTGATATGGACTTCTGTATGACTTGATATTGTTAAGCATCTGAAAAATTCATATTACACTTGGCACAATGTAGTTGTTTATAGCCAAATAAGGAAGACAAATGAGGTGCCTGATGAGTCTTGATTATTGTGGTAGTACGTCAAGACAAGAAATCATGAACATATACAGCATTATAAGCTGTAAAAGTAGTCAGGGAATCTAGAGAGGTCGTGAGATGAATATTTCTGAAAGACTGGGTGACTGTGGGAGCTACATTCTTATTGAAATATTGAAAGCCATGTTAAATGTGTCTAATAATTTAGACGTCATCAGAGTAAAGGATTTAATTCCAAAGTTGTTTTTACATAATTTTTCAAACTCCAGTGTAAGAACTTCTTCATTCAAATACTCCAATATTTTTTTGGTTGTTTTTCAATGTTTCACTAGTAAAAATCATGAACTCTAGCTTTTGTCATAATATTCATTTTACCTTGACATTGGTGATACACACTGCAGGGTTTCAATGGAACACTAACCGAACCAGTTGAGAGAAAGGGTGATCAGTATAAAGAAATGGAACTCACAGTGCATCCAGAACTGAAACAACCCTTGACAGAACTTTGCAGTGACCCAAACACCACAGTTGTTGTGCTTAGTGGAAGTTGTAGAACAGTTCTAGATGAAGTAATTCTTGGTACATTACTTCCTTCTTTATGAACTACTCGATCCGCTTTTAACTTATCGCTATTACAGAACTTTAAAGAATATGACATCTGGCTGGCAGCAGAGAATGGGATGTTTTTAAATCCTTCAAAGGGAGAATGGATGACCACAATGCCTGAGCAACTGAATATGGAATGGGTTGACAGTGTGAAGGTGCTTATTTGAAGTTTCAATTGTTTTGATTGCCCTTATCCTTCATGATATTGACTTAAATTAATGATTCTATGTTTCAGCATGTTTTTGAGTACTTCACAGAGAGGACTCCTCGTTCACATTTTGAAGAAAGAGAAGCTTCACTTGTGTGGAATTACAGACATGCAGGTGACTGACTTATGTTTAGGGAGACCTTATTTATGTTTTGCTGCTGTGTTTCCAGTTACTGATCCTCTCACCATTGATATAGATGTTGAGTTTGGAAGACTCCAAGCACGGGACATGCTGCAGCATCTCTGGACAGGTCCAATTTCTAATGCATCAGTTGAAGTTGTTCAGGGGAGCCGATCTGTTGAGGTGCGAGCTGCTAATGTTACCAAGGTAACCTCTTGTTAATAATTGACTTTTGTCGGGTCTGTTTTCACCTGAGGATTTTCATATACATCTATCTTTTATTTAATCAGGGTGCAGCTATTGATCGCATTCTGGGGGAGATAGTCCACAGTAAATCCATGACAACACCAATTGATTACGTTCTGTGTATAGGACATTTTCTGGCAAAGGTGAATTAAATTTTCATTTGATATGTTTTGCAAGTTATTTTTATTATCTTGTTTATCTGTCTAATGAGAAATTATGTTTGTTTCTATGGTCCTTTTGAGCATCCTTTCGTATTTGACAATTTTTAATTGTAATTTGTTTCCATAACATGCAAGACTGTCTAGCATATGCTTGCACCTATTCCTCAGCAAGCTTTAATAATGCCTTACACAGTCACACTGCACAAACTTTTAATAAAGTGGAAAAATTGAAAGCTTAAAATTTGGTTAACTTTCTAGGTTGAAATTCAAACAAACATTCCTGAAGTACAAAAGCTGAGATTTCATTAGTTAAATTTCGCTTGGGAAGTTACCATTGCTATTGTCCTGTTTCATTCCATCTCCCTTGACTTCACGTAATTATAGAGAACTCTTGATCGGTTGAAGAGTTTTAATTTTTTCACTTCGTTTTGAACACACTATAGATTGTTTTATGTGCTGCCTACCTCAACCGCTGTCAAAATCTTGTTTCTGTGGTATACAAGTACTTTACACTTAACCACCAATTTGCTGGTTAGGTTTCATTTCTGATTGTAACATGTGTTATTATGAAATAACATTAAGAACTTAGACGTGTAAAGCAAAGTGGTTTAAGTCAAAATTATATTTTTGTTTCTATTAGTAAATACATGTGGACGTGTTTGATGTCATCCGCTCTTAGCTCATTCTTCGATATCCGATTTCTAGTTAAATCCATTGAAAGGGAGTCTAGATGGTTTTCACGAAGTATTCTCGATTTAAAATGGATTTAGATCTATGGTGCCCGTTTATGTTTTACGTGCTTTGCATTTACCTCATGAGCATTTGAAAAATATTTTGCGCAATGATATTGTACGCTGCTGAATTTTACACAATTGGTTGCAGCAGGATGAAGATATATATGCGTTTTTTGAGCCAGAGCTTCCTTCTGTTGGTATGGGTCTTCCACGAAGTAAGGGAACAGATGGAGTGAAGTTTCCCGTGGAGAGGATATCATCTTTGAAGATTCCAGCTAGTACGAATGGAGCAAAGTCATCTCAAAATAAAGGACAAAGGTCTGTGTCAAATTCTGAGAAGAAAGCAACTAATCATATCTGCCGGGCACAACGTCGGCCAGCTCCTGAAAAGATATCTTGGAATGTCCTTGACCTCAAGAAGGAGAATTACTTTTCATGTGCCGTTGGACGAACACAAACTAATGCTCGTTATACGCTTGGATCATCAGACGACGTTGTTGCATTTCTGAAGGAAATGGCAGATGCATCTCAATCCTCTTTTCTCTGAGAGTTAACGTTACATGTTTTCACACCTTAGGATACTTCCCAGCTTTAGAATTTGGTATATCCTAGCGATCTTATTTCCTTCAAATACCAACAGTGCAAGATAAAGAAATTAGGCTTTTAGTCTTACAGAAATTCTTGTACATGATCGCGCTTCATTTAGCCTTTTCTTGCGTAGGGATTCATAATTAATTGTCGGCTAAATTAATTTGTAGATCCTTAAATTATTTGAAACTTCTTAAATAAATCTGTAGTTTACAGTGTTGTGCGTAGGGGTTTTTCTATTTTTGTGTGTGTAATAAACACATGAAGCCCGAAGACAGAACTAAAGAATCAAACTGGTAGCAACACAAGAGTCAATTTTACCCATTAGAGAATGGGGCGATTTTATGTGAAAAGGAATTGAGAGGAGTGACTTTTAATAAAAAATTTAATTTTCATTTATTTAGATATTTTGTTTTCTAGCAAAAAAGAAATGAAATGGAGGGGGTGGGTTTTTTTTTTTTCAAAAAAAAATCTATTCTTCCTTATGAGACCTTGTCGTGTAAAAATCTCATTCCCAACCCAAACTTAAATACTTACCGTATAACACAAATACTATAACCGGAGAAAATTAAAAGAATATCTCAGTTGCATCCATTTCACTGCATATGCAATGCAAATATGATACAAGCATAACCCACAAAATGGATATATATGAGCAATACAAGAATAGAAATCGTCAAGGACGTAAAAAGTTGCCTGTAGGCTTTCGAGTAACAAAACCTTATCCAATGTTTTCTCTTAACAGAAGACACTAAAACTAGAATAAAGCTGTGGGAATGTTAAATTAGCAACCACACCTAACCCAACTATAATACTTAGTTACCCTCTAAACACAGTAACGTGATGAAACTAACAATGAAATAATGAGTGATCTACGTAGCCCGCCACAAAAATGCGTAGTCTGTGATGTTTAACACATGAAAAACTGCTTAGTATTTTAAGCACTTTTCTTGTTTGGCTCAAACACATACTTAATCAGTGATTCCTTGATGGGAAGGAGCTCTGGGAACTCTTTCTTCAATTTGGATGCATCCAACTCATTGTTGCTTCGTGGAGCCACTATCACCGTGGCTTGCTCTTCAAGTGTGAAGTTAACCCACTTGAACTTAGGATCAATGTAATCCCTGTACATCTCAAGAATCTCATTATGACTCACAACTCCAGGATTTGTGAAGTTCCAGATACCCCTCAAGTTTCGCTTTGCCATCTCAATTGAAATAGGCAGAAGTTCATCCAAAATAGTCATGCTGTTTGGAATGTTAACGACTTTGTTATAACGAGCAATCTTGGTAATGAAATTGCGTGGATTACTCAGGTCAGATGAAATTGGCATGCGAACCCTGAGGGTGCATACGTTGTCATATTCTTTCAAGAGCTCTTCAACCTGTCAAAATTCAAAGCCATAAGAGATATATACAATCATAATGGAAAGGGAATAAAACCATAACATGTAAATAAGCTAACCATAGCCTTAGTTTTGGAATAGAAAGAACCAGTGAAATTGGGTTTGTCTTCCTCCTTAAAACCAATGCCAGAACCCTCTGGATGAGCTTTATCATACTCAAATATGCATCCAGTTGCATAATTTATCATCAAGAGCCCATGCTCCCTACTGACATCGGCCAATGTTAAAGTCCCAGCAACATTGGTGCGGATGGTTTCTGTTTTATGAGATTCACACCAATCAACATTGGGTCGGCCAGTCACTCCTGCTGCATTGAAAATATGTGTTGGTTTCACACTCTGAATATCAGCCACAAGTGATGAGCGATCCTCTAGGCGTCCTTTACCATATTCATAGGGGATTCCTTGCTTTTCACATAATTTCCCCAGCAAACCCCCAATCCAGCCTGTTCTGCCATAGATCAAGAACTTGAGAGTATGCTTCTGCAAAGAGCCAACATTCTTGGATGTTGGAACCACCATTCGAGTATTAGTGGAGACAAATGATGAAGGTTTTTCTTCTTCAGACCCATCAAAATGTTTCTCCATCCCACCAGGCCTCATCAACATCCTTGGATGAGGAAGCAAAGCACCACTGACATCACCCCACCAATCAGGATTGCTGATATACCACTCCATGGTTTTCTTCAAGCCCTCTTCCCAAGTGGTCTTCTCAGCCCAACCCAAGATTTTCAGCTTTTGGTCATCAAGAAAGTATCTCTGGTCATTAAATGGCCTGTTCTCTACAAATTTTATACTAGTCTGTGGGTCCATGGAAAAAAGCTTGCATATATCTTTGGCTACATCAATAACTCTTCTTTCCTTCTTAGTTCCAATATTGTAAACATGCCCAACCTCTCCCTTGTGAAGGATAACTTCAAAAGCCTCTGCAACATCTTCACAATATAAATAACTCCTCACATTAGAACCATCCCCGTGAATTGGAAGAGGCTTGCCTTGCATAGCCAGGAGAATGAACTTTGGAATTAATTTCTCAGGAAATTGATTGGGCCCATAAACATTATTTCCGCGTGTCGTGATCACAGGTAACCCATATGACCTACCATATGCCATGACAAGCATTTCTGCCCCAGCCTTTGTTGCAGAGTATGGATTTGTGGGAAGTAACTGAGAAGCCTCATGGTTTCCGTCAACAGCATCCTCATCTGATTCTCCGTAGACCTCATCAGTGCTCACATGGATGAACCTTCTGACTAAGCCAGTTACCTTGCAGGCTTCTAACAGGACATGAGTACCGTATATGTTGTTCTTGGTGAACTCAAAGCTGTTACCAAACGAGTTGTCAACATGGGTTTGAGCAGCAAAGTGCATTATTGTGTCAATAGACTCGGTGATGAGAAGGTAGTTGACAAGGTCAGCACTTCCAATATCTCCCTTCACAAACTTTAAGTTGGGAGATGATTTTGAAGGAGTGAGGTTCTTCAGATTTGAACAATAATCAAGCTTGTCAAGAACAACAATTTTGTAGTGGGGATAATTATGGATAAGCCTGTTGGCAACATGAGATGCAATGAATCCAGCAGCTCCAGTAATGAGGATATTTTTTGGCGTATACGAAGCCATGTCAAGCAACTTCTACGACAAAATGAAGCAAATCACAATATACCAATTAGAACCACAATCACCAAAAAATAAAGATAAAAAAACAACATAGCATACCACAAGTTTCATCTAATCGTAAACCGAAAAACCTATATTCTACGATAAAAACAAGCAAACTTCTGGATAAGAAGTTGATATGACAGTAGTATGAGGAAATCAAGCAAATAGGACAAAATTTTGGGTAGCGTGCAGAATCTCCCTGCCTTATGTGCACAACGAAAGAAACCATGAGGAAATTGTCCATCTCTAGGTAAATGATCCACAGATTATAGCTACAAAGCTCACACAACAAGTCCAAGAGAAAGAAAAAGGATAGTAAAAACATATTTCCTTGATCCAGTTTGTTAAGATGAAAATTACAAAATTCAATCCATTATATCATATTCTATAAGAAATTCCAATAAGAAATCCACCCATCTAACATCGAGGAAAGGGAATATCTAAACCTGGAATTTTTTTCTCCGCTCCCACTCTCCCTGAGCAGTGGGAACACACACACACACACACAAAAACAAACAAATCAATCAATAATAAATAATATATGAATAAATAATTGAAAAAGCGGTAATTAAAAATATTAAAATCGTGACTCAGATTCCACACAAACAATATAAAATGCAGTGAATTATTCACAGAACCAATTACCCAAGCTTCAGAATTACAAATCCAGCATAGATCTTATTATTTCACTAGCTTGAGCTGAAACGATCTCGTCGATCACGACACAGCCGAAATACACACGACAGGACAAAAAAAATCTCCACGATCCTCATTCCTTACAGATCCAACAAAAAGAAGCAACACCCAGATCACAAAAATAGCCTATTACCCCAAATTTCAAAACTTTACAAAAGAAAAATAAGAAACAGCAAATGGGGCAACAACCAGATCATCCATAAGAACTAGCAAAAGCAATGGAGAAAACAACTTACGAAATGGAAGATAAAAAACGATTAGAGAAGAAGAAAAGACGATGACAAGAAAGAGAACTTCTTCAGACGCGTAAGAAATGGAAGATGGAACTCTCTCCCGATTTCAATTTGGATTTGGACACTCAACTCTTTCTATTTATAAATGCCCTTTTTGTATGCAATTTATGAACTATGGATCAGACAGTTAAGAGGCGCCAGAGGATATTCTCAAATGACAGAAATACCCTCCCATCTACAAGGATTTACGTGGGACCCTCCAATTTATTTTATTTATTTATTATGTACTCATATTTTTCCATCCAATGTCCAAGTGTACCTTTGGTGTAGATTGCTAGTCGTTTAGTTCTGATTTTGATGCAATGTTTTGTGTATTTTTAAAGAAAGATTAAATGTGTTATTAAATCGTCCTTCTGATACTTTTATGCTTATTTCTTATTGCTAGTCGTTTAGTTTCAGGTTTAATGTTTACAAATAAACTAAGAAAAATAATAGAACAATTTGAATATATTATTCATTATTAATCTATTTATTATAAAATTAAAATATTTATTTCATAAATTGATTATTTTATAAATATTGTTTTACCTTTTAAAAAAAATCAAATATAATGTATGTTAAAGAATATATTTAAAAAATATATTTTTATTATTTTTAAATTATTTTAAATTTTGTAAAAATTCATTACTTAACTTCTTATTATACTTTTCATTTACTCTTTTCATTTTTTGAATGTTTAAAATTTTGCACAAAAATTAAAAAATATTTTGTATTCTAAATTTCACAAAATGTTATTAATTATTTTTTTTAATATACTCCTCATCTATTATATTAATTATCTCATTTATTTCTTTTGGTCTTTTTTATAAGAGATATTTGAATATTTCTATCAGTCCTTAACACAACACACTTTTAGAGATGACAATGAGTAAAATACCCGATGGGTACCCATAAAATTTACTTATAATGGGTAGAATATTTACCCGCTATATGGATACAGGTATGGGTGTGGGTAAAAATCCGTAAATTTTAATGGGAATGAGTGCGGGTATGGGTATTTAAGTATCCACCCTATCCCATACTCGCATATATATATATGCGAGTATTCATTAAATTCTATCCTAACTCTATTCTCATTCTCGATGTCTGTCTCATTAAAACCTAACAACTATGAAACGTTATTCATTAGAGTTAGTTGTTAATGTCGCTACAAAAAGTCACCGCGTGATCCCACACAAAGGAACACTCATTGTGCAGATCTATTTTATTGTTACTCTGACATTGTTGATTGATCGAATCTCACACAATATAAGGTTATTACTAACAAATAACTTGTGTATTTAGTTTCGTTTATTGTTTCTAAGAATTTTAGTTTAAAAAATTATTATATTAAGATACATTTAGCACTTGTAATATTTGAATATTTGTTTTTGTATCTATGTTTGTACCTTATTTGACAACTACATATTAAATTTTTGTATTATTATGCTACTTATGTGAAGTTATATAAATATATTTTTCTTTATAAATATTTTTTTCTCAAACAAGCGCAGGTAATTGGTACAAGATGGATATGCGGATACCCAGAGAGTACGTATACGAAGATTAATGTTTATACCCACGTGAATATGGGGCTGGGTATAGGTATGAGAATTGATACCATAGTACCCAACCTATACGCTATCCATTGCCATCCCTACACACTTTACAATATTTTTGGAAGATTTTTAATTTTTACATATTTAGCCTCACATTTCTAACTTATTAAAATTCAATACAGTAAGAGTTTGATTTTAAATAAAACAAAATTAGAATGCTGTGATTATTTGTTTCCAAAAACAAATTCAATTACTACTCTCAATAATAATTTGATTGAAAGGTTCTCAGGAATTATTTATTATCTTTTACTAAAAAAAACTACTTAAAATAAAATTATAAACAAAATATTATTTTTATTGATTTATAAACTGAACAAGAAATATGAATAAAATAAAATTACTAAAGTGTTAAAGAAAAATAGAGAAGTAATAAAAATAATAATAACTACTAATCACTTTCGTTAAAATAATGATATTAGTCGACAATTATGAACAACAAATAATATTTAATGTTAATTTTACATAATTGAAAGTGACAAAAATTATTTTTACATAAATAAAAATTATTTTTAAATTTCTTAACAAATGTATAATAATTAAAAATATTTTTATTTAAATGTAACGATCAAAGTAAGATTAAGTTTTAGTTATATATATATATATATATATATATATATATATATATATATAATAATTTATGTGTAATGTTTAAATTTGTATGACAAAAATTTGCACTAAAAAATTATCATATAGAATAAAATTATTATATTATATTAATTAAACAAACATTAAAAATAGGATATGGTAGAAAAATTTATCGTATCTTATTTTATTTTATTATGTCCATAAAACCTGTCCAGAAAATTTAATATAACATCAATAATAAAAAATTTATATTTATTTAAAAATATTTTTGGATGATCCAAAATTTACTGAATAAAATTTTAAATAAATTTATTAGTAAATAAGCTGATCTAATTTAAGTATAATCTAAATTATATTCCAAATTCTTACCAAATTATCTGACTTATTCGTATCTATACTTGAATAAAAAAAATGTTTTACACTTGAATAAAAAACATATTACGAATATAATAAAAATTCTTACTATTATTTTCCTTTTTCAAATAAGTTATTTAATGAATTTAAGATTCATTGCAGCTAACTAAAAAATGCATATATATATATATATATATATATATATAAATATTTAAAATAATTTTTAAAAAATTATTTAAGTTAATTCTGTAATCACAAATAATATATATTTAAATAATAAAACTATACTAATTTTAAAATATACAGCGTAAGTTTAAGAGATAAAACTCTTAAAAATAAACTAAATATTCAAAAAAGAAAAAGAAAAAAGAAGACATGTACTTAAGTTTAGCTTATTTGAAAAAAGACCTTAAAAAAGGGTATTCGAGAATAATGTGAAATTTGAGAGGAAAAATTATTGAAATAATGGACTTGCAAATTCAGTATTGTATTTTGAATGAAACTAAAGTTGAGTAATTGCTGAGAATTTCAATTGTGAGTATTGCAAATAATATATTTAGTATTTTTAATTATATAAATGTAAATATAGATATTTATAAAAAAAGTTGTAAGTTTATATAAGGTGAAAAAACAAAATAAAAATATATAAATATAAATATATGTAGATTAAAAACTATCATTTGATGAAAGAAACTAACTAACTACATCAGCATCAGTAGATTTTGAGAATAATTAGACTTGAAATATAAGAAGATAACTTTTTTCAATCTCAATCATTATAAGAAATAAAAAAAGAAGTTATAGATAGATTTAAAAGATACTCAGAAATACTAAGATCAAGATCAACAAGTTTATAAATTTAGTTTTAAGATTGTCCTCATGAGTTTCTTGAAGCATTCTTCAAGAAAGTCTTATGAAATGGATCTTTAAGAGGATAAACAACACTTCCTTACTTGTGAAATCCATGAAAACTGCTCTAAATTTGCCATGGAAAAAGAAGTGAATCTCAAATTTTGAAGGAACCAAAAGAGAGAAAATTCAAGTGAAAAAAAATAGAAACAATGAATTAAGAATGAATGGCATCACTTTAAAGGATTAGAGATAAGTTTCTTTGCCTCATAATATGAAAAAGTTCCATGATAAGAGATGTGGATCCTAAAGAATTTTAGAGAACTTAAACTTATAAAAGTGAGAAAACCATACAAATGAATTCCAATATGAATTTATAAGGGAGTTAACCTATATATAGGTAAGATAACTCAAGGCTCAAATACATCTCTAATGAGCCATGAACAAGTAACAAGAATATGTGGGTTGAACTGAATACAAGAAACTTCACCCCAAAGTTCAATGGACTTCTCATGCCCATGGCCAAAATATATGGCCCAAAACTAAACTAAGTTAAGCTTTTTTATTTTGTAACTATATAATCACAAGTAAAAGTATAAAGAGATTTTATGTCTCCTATGATCATATCAATTTCTAAACAGTACTTGGAGTAAGTATAGCGTGTATATTATCTAAGTTAAATTTATACTTCACTAATAACACTTTAACTTATGACTTATTTAGAATATTAATCATTCTTTAACCTATTTTAACTATATAAACTAAATTTATATTATGAATGTTTTTAAAATTAAGGCTACCCAAATTTCTTTGGAGACTATTAAATGAAACTTTTTATTTGTAGAAGTAAAACTCAAAATAAAATTTTTACATATTTTATTTATCTCCTCGTATATATATTTAGAGTGAGAAGATGAGTTTGCATGATATAATTGGGAGTACTTATTATACTAAACAGAATGACAATTTTAACAATAATTTAAATAATTATCAAACACAATAAATTTTGTATTTTTTCAACATAATGATATAAATAATAAATTAGAAATAAATAAATGAAAAAATAATATTTTTTTAATTATTTTAATTATTTTTAAATAAATAAATTATAAATTCAATTATAATTACTAAATATGAGTGTATCAACACCTTTTATACTTTAACTAATAAAATTTAGCCATATGTATATATTCAAATCACGTCTTAAATAAGCTAAAATTAATAATAAATGTGTTATAAATTTTTTTAATTGCAAAACGATCATATGAGATTTTTTCAATTTTTTAGAAACGAAATTAGTACTAAATCAAGTTTGTTATAAGGTCAATTAAATTAAAAATAATAAAATAAAAAATTATAAATTATATTTTTAAAATTAAATAGAACATTTATATTATAAAAATTTAATGAAACTAAAACATATTTATATTATAAAATAATTCACTCGTATACGAGGATTCATAGTTATGTAACGTATTATTGATTATTTTGAAATAAATATGCTTTACCATATTTTTAAATAAAATTTTTTACATTCAAAATTATATATATATATATATATCATAAAAAGCAATTTTATCCAGTAAAATCATTTAATATGAATTAAATATTTTCAATTTTAGAAAAAAAAGTTTATATATAACATTTTTGGTTCAACACACATCTTGTGTATATTTATAAATATTTTAATAAACAAAAGTAAAATATATTATAA